GTGTCCTAACAATGATCTGTTCTGGAGAATTTCCTGTGCGTCCTTGAACACAATGTGTATTCTGTTATTTTTGTATGAGACTATCTGAATATACTTATTAGATCCATCTATTCCAATGTGTCATTCAAAGCCACTGTTTCCTTTTTAATTTTCTGCCTGGGTACTTTATCCATTGATGTAAGTGAGATGTTAAATCTCCTGCTATTATTATATTGCTGTCAGTTTCAACTTTAATGCCTCTTAATAGTTCTTTTTTTTCCCCCTTTTTTAATGTATTTAGGTGCTTCCGTGTTGGGTGCGTAAATATTTACAACCGTTACAGTCTCTTGCTGAATTGTTCCTTTATCATTGGGTGGTGTCTGTGTTTCTTGTTATAGTCTTCATTTAAGGTCTATTTTATCTGATATTAAGTACTGTTACCCAGCTTTCTTTTTACTTCCATTTGCAAGGCAAATGTTTTTCCACCCCTTTGCTTTCAACCTGCATGTGTCTTTAGATGTGAAGTTTATCTCTCGTAGGCAGCATATACATAGGTCTTCGTATTTTATCCATTCAGTTATAATGGATGTCTATGATTACACTATGTCTTTTGAAGATTTTATTTATTTATTTATTTATTTATTCATTCATTCATTCACTCACTCATGAGCGATGCAGAGACACAGGCAGAGGGAGAAGCGGGCTTCATGCAGGGAGCCCGACATGGGACTCGATCCCGGGTCCCCAGGTCACACTCTGGAGGCGCTAAACTGCTGAGCCACCTGGACTACCCTGGAGTATGTCTTTTGATTGGAGGTTTTATTTCATTTACATTCAAAGTGATTAGCAATAGGTATGCACTTATTGACATTTTGTTACTTGTTTTATGGTTGTTTGGGTAGTTCTTCCCTTTCTTTTCCTGCTCTCTTCCCTTGTGGTTTGCTGGCTTTCTTTAGTGATATATTTGGATTCCTTTCTCTTATTTTTTTGCATGTCTGTTGCAGGTTTTTGATTTGTGGTTAGCACTGGGTTGATGTATAATATCCTACGCATATAGAAATTTATATTAGTTAATGGTTGCTTGAATTGGAACCTATTCTAGGGATGCATGAGTGGCTCAGCAGCTGAGTGTCTGCCTTTGGCTCAGGGCATGACCCCAGGGTTGTGGGGTATCAGGTTCCTCGCAGGGAGCCTGCTTCTCTCTCTGCCTCTGTCTCTGTGCCTCTCATGAATAAATTAAATCATTCAAAAAAATTGGAACCCATTCTAAAAGCACAAAATCTTTAACCTCCCTCCATGTTTTATGTATATAATATTATACTTTACATCCTTTTATTTTTGAATTCCTTGACTGATATTCATTAATTGATATTACTGCTTTTATGTTTTAACTGCTGTATTTGTGTTATAGGTGATTAATCTAGTATGTGTGTATGTATGCATGTTTGTTTTAAAGTTTTTTTTGTTGTTGTTGTTGTTTATTCTCTACACGCAACTTGGGGCTTGAACTCACAACCCAGAGATCAAAAGTTGTTTGCTTTTTTGATTGAGTCAGTCAAATTTATCTTCCATTTATGACCTTCTTTCCATTCAGAGTCTATTTGAACATTTCTTGTTTGACTGATCTAGTGGTGATGAACACTTTTACCATGTTTGGAAACTCTTTGTCCTTGTATTGTGAATGAAGGTCTTGTTGGATAGAGTATTCTTGGTTGTAGTTTTTTTCCTTTCAGCATTTGGAATAGATTATGCCATTATCTTCTGGCCTGCGAAGTTTCTGCTAAAAAAGTAGCTAACAAGCTTTTAAGGTTTCCCTTACAGGTACCTGTCTTCTGTTCTCTTGTTGCTTTTATATTTTCTTTTTATCACTACTTCTTGCCATTTTAATTATTATGTGTATTGGTGTGAACCTCCTTGGGTTGATTTTTGTTGGGGGCTCTCTCTGCCTCTTGGATCTTGATTTCTGCTTTCTTCCCCAGATTAAGGAAATTTTCAGCTATTATTTCTTCAAATAAATTTTCTGCCTCCTTTTCTCTTTCTTCTTCTGGGATTCCTAAAATGTGACTATCGTTACACTTGATGATGTTGCTGAGTTCCTTTAACCTATTCTCAATTTTATTATTCTTTTTCTTTTTGCTGTCCCACTGGTTGTTTTCCATTATTATGTCCTCCAGGTCACTGATCTGTTCTTCTACTTCCTCTAATATACTGTTCATTTCATCTAGAGTATTTCTAACTTGTTATGTTTTCTGTCTCTTTGTTGAATGTCTCACTGAGATCCTCCACTCTTTTCTCTAGTCCAGTAAGTTCTTTATGATTGTTACTTTGAGTTCTCTATTAGGCATATTGCTTATCTCCTTTTTCTTTAGCTCTTTTTCTGTGATTTTTGTCCTGTTCCTCATTTGTGATCCATTCCTCTGTCTCCTCATTATGTTTAAGTCTCTGTGATTAGTACTATAGAGTAGAAAAGTCAGTTGTGTCTTCTGATTTAAAATTAGTGGCCTTACAAAGAAGAGTCCTGGGATGCCTGGGTGGCTCAGTGGTTGAGCACCTATCTTCAGCTCAGGGTGTGATCCCGGGGTCCTAGGATTGAGTCCCACATTGGGCTCCCTGCATGGAGCCTTCTTCTCCTCTCTCTTTCTCTGTGTCTCTCATGAATAAATAAATAAAATCTTAAAGAATCCTGTGGTGCCTTATAGAACACTGCTCCCTATTCACCAGAGACAGTAGCTGCATAGTTGGTTTCCTTTATTTATTGCATGCACCCCAGTGTTGTGGCTGAGCCTTGTTTGCATTCTGTCCAATAGGCTACAATGGCCCCCTTTCTCTGTTCTGGGTAGGATTTGGTCCTTGTGCTATTAAGAGGCCAATCTGTGGTTGCCTTGGGCCTTAAGTTGGTTCAGACCAGATGCCTGCCATCAGCCCATTTTCTGGGGCTCTGGTAGCACCAAATTGTAGGATGTTCTCCCTGTATTTTCTCTGAGAGGTTTTCTTTGGTGAATGGGGTCTTTTATGAGACCAAATGTCTGCCTCCAGTCTGTTGAGGTTGAACTACAGCCCTGGACTACAGGGCTTTTTCCTTGTGCAGCTCCCTGTGAGTTTTTTTTTGTTGTTGGTGAGTGGTATTGGCAATCTGATGGGATGTCTGTCTGTAGTCCCCTGCTGGGAGCTGCAGTGGAACTGGTGTGTATGATTATTTTCCCCTCTCCCCAGGGTAGCAGTTACTTTGGAATGGTGCTTTTCACTGTTGTGGTTGATTGCAGGATGATACTTGTCAGAAGCTGCTATGGAGGGACTCCTCCCCAGTGGAGCAAGTTGGGTGGGGTGAGTCTTCAGTAGAATGCAGGGCGTGTGCTGTTAGAAAAGTAGGTGGGGAATGATACTGGTTCCTAGCAGGGCTACTTGTAGAATGAGATTTGCCAGTTGCTGCTTTGGAATGATTCCTGCCTGGTTGGGTGATTATGATGGGGGAGGATCCACAGGAGAATGCTGGGGCAGGAGATACAGTGTCAGCAGGCTAGGTAAAAAGTATTCATGCTCATTCTTAAAGATGCCTGGTTGTCTAAGCTGGCAGCAGGGAAACTGTCACCTGCCAGCTCTTATGTTCTTGGATAAATCTCCTAAAGATCCTTGCTCTTGCAGAATAATTAAAGAAATTCTGAGATAAGTAAAGAAATCTAGGGCAGCCTGGGGGGCTCGGTGGTTTAGCACCACCTTCAGTGCAGGGTGTGGTCCTAGAGACCAGAAACGAGTCCCACGTCGGGCTCCCTGCATGGAGCCTGCTTCTTCTCTGCCTGTGTCTCTGTCTCTCTCTCTCTTTCATAAATAATAATAAAATAATAAAATAAAATAAAATAAATAAAATATAAAATAAAATAAAAAAATAAATCTACTGTATGCCTACCCCAGGTAATTTTCAGACTGCTGATGCTTTGCTGTATCTTAGCAGTGTTGATTGTTATGTTCTATCTTTAAGGGTGGGGACTCAGTTTGCTATTCCAGCTCTTCCAGAGTAAAGCCTACCGATTTTTAAAGTACACAGGTTTAAGCTCTGCTGGTTATAAAAACTCTGAAAGTTAAGCCCCACTGTTTTTCAGTGTGTAACAAATGTTACACAGTTTGTCTTTCCAGGGAAGGCCCCCCATGTTTGGAGTGCTTGATGTGGGGTCTGTTCCTCTTCTTCATGATTGTGGTATCCTGGTATCCTCCTGTTTGTGGTTAATCTTGTAGGAGTTTGGTTCTTGACTATTTCTCTGTCCCTCCTACCATTTTTGATGTGGCCGCTGCTCTGGACTTAACTGAATGGAGCCTGTTCTGTCAGTCTTTGGGTCATTTTCTGGGTTAGTTGTACTGATGTGGCTATTATCTAGGTATATCCATGGGAGGAGGTGAGCTTGGGATCTTCCTACTCTGCTGTCTTTACAGGCTCTCTCCTTCCAGTAATTGGGTTCTTCTTAGTTTTGCATGAGTTCTTTAGGTTCAGCAGCTTCTGGTCTCTGTTCTGTGTATTACCTAGAACCTGGGAGTCTAGGCTTGAAATACTGATGTTTAGAGCATACTCAGAGGGCCAAGAAAGCATCTCTTTTGCAGTTCTGCTGCCGTCCCCCAGGCATCACCAGCCAGTGTGACACACTCACTCATTCCTTCATGTCTTCTAACCTCTAGAGAATGCTGCATTCCCTTTCTTGTTGTCATCAAAACTGCTTTTAACATATGTGAAAAGTAAACTTAAGGCTTTTTACTGAAAAAAAAGAATGATTATTGTTAAGTAGCTCCTATGTTCATCAAAACTGCTTTTAACATATGTGAAAAGTAAACTTAAGGCTTTTTACTGAAAAAAAAGAATGATTATTGTTAAGTAGCTCCTATGTTCTGCCCAGAAAGAAAGAAATCCATAAAGCATAGACACACTAATGTTACCTGCATGTAAATGGAGTGAAAGAAAAATAGAGCAAATGAAGTGTTTCAGAAAATTGCTCTGCCACAGTATATTTTATTCAGCAATCAAAGGCATCACTTACCTGACTGGTACTTTTATATTTGCAAGAAAACACTCGGCTGTGACTATAATATGAGTCATCAGGAAAGCTAATCCAATGCCCAGGAGAGTCCATATATCTGGAATTTCAAACCAATTAAAAAGATAAATATGCAGTGAAAAACATTAAAAACTCCAAAATCGAGCAATTATTTAGTCACAATGTCACCTACTATTCTGAGTGTTCATGAAATCCGTAGGGGAAGGGTTAACCTTGATGTGGCATCGATTTCCTTTCCATCCTTGTCCACATCTGAAAATGAGATAAAATGTGATAGCTAAATTAAGAAAAAAAGTTGAAACTTATTTTAGCAACATTATAATGGAATAAAATGACTAATGTCAATAGCTAATAATACAAGCAATGTGGATAACTTTGTTAAGAAACCAAAAATATTAAACCAGAGCAAAAACAAAATTAAATTTTATTATTTTCATAATTGTATAAGATGATCTTAAAAAATATTTAGCACCTTTTGACTTTATCTCTAAGTTGAGAACTTAGTTTTCACATGTCCCTTTCTTATTTTCAGTATTGATTTGATTTATAGCAGTGTCCAATACAATATTACTTTATTGATCATTTGTCTCAAAGCTAAAAGCTAGTACTTTTTTCACTAGTGAACAGATTTTTTTCAGTATTGATGGAAATAGTAAAATTACTAGATTTACATAAATCAGTATATTTGTCACTACATCTGGATGATCCTTCAAGTGCATAGATTTGAAACCAGGTTAATAATCTCATTGGATATACCTGCAATACTACTATGATATAGTTAACTTTGCTTTATTTAGGAATATCATGATGAAACCTAAAACATAGGGAGTATTTTCTTTATAGTTGGATAGTTGGCTTTCAGCATTCAGAAATGGGGACTAGCTTATACTTCAAAGGAAAACCAGGTTTGTTTTTAAGCAGTAAATAGATTTTTTTTTCTGGCATAGTATGTGTTTCCATGTGAGTGTGAAAGCTTATAGATTCATAACTTTTTATCAAAACTAAGAGGATACAAATTATTTTTATTTATGTTTGGTTGAATCTTCTATCAAGTTCATAATACATACCACAAAATCAGATTTAAAAGTAGCTTTTAAATCTGTGTGCGTTGAAACTGTTACAAGCAATGCTTTTTCCGCATATAGTTGTATTTTCCCTTTTTTAATTTGGAAATTTAAATGTTTAATGGCAATTTCTTCATTAAAAAATACTTCCTTAAATATAAAAAGCTTAAAGTTTTCAAGAAGGTCCATAATAATGCCTTCCTTCCAGGGTGCCTGGGTGGCTTAGTCATTTGAGTGTCTGTCTCTTGGTTTGGGCTCAGGTCATGATCTCAGGGTCATAGGATCCAGCTCTGCATTGGGCTCCGTGCTCAGCACCCAGAGTCTGCTTGTCCCTCTCCCTCTGCTCTCCACCCTGCTTGCATACTCCCTCTCTCAAATAAAATCTTAAAAAAAAAAGTCGGGATCCCTGGGTGGCGCAGCGGTTTGGCGCCTGCCTTTGGCCCAGGGCGCGATCCTGGAGACCCGGGATCGAATCCCACGTCGGGCTCCTGGTGCATGGAGCCTGCTTCTCCCTCTGCCTGTGTCTCTGCTTCTCTCTCTCTGTGACTATCATAAATAAAAAAAAAAAAAAGGGAGTGAGAGAATGCCCCCTCACAGAACTAGAAGAAATAATACTAAAATTCATATGAAACCACAAGAGACCCTGAATGGCCAAAGCAGTCTTAAAAGAGAACAATGCTTAAAGGTAAAATCCTGGATTTCAAGATGTACTGCAAAAAAAGTAGTGATCAAAACAGTATGGTACTGCCACAAAAATACATAGAACAAAATAGCCCAGAAAGAAGCCCATGCTTATATGGTCAATTAATTTATGAAAAAGAAGGCAAGAATACACAATGGAGAAAAGACAGTCTCTTCAATAAATGGTTCTGGGAAAACTAGTTTCATACAAAAGAATGAAACTCGACCATTTTCTTACACCATACACAAAAATAAACTCAAAATGGATTGAAGATCTAAGTGTGAGATTTGAAAATGTAAAACCCTGAGGAAAACATAAGCAGTAATTTCTTGCATTGGACTTAGTGACATTCTTTTAGGTAAATCTCAGACAAGGGAAATAAAAGCAAAATTAACTATTGGGACTACACCAAAATAAAAAAGCTTAATAAAAAATAGCTTTTGTCCGATGAAGGAAACCATTAGCAAAACAAAAAAGCAACCTAAGGAATGGGAGAAGATATTTTCAAATGATAAGGAATTAATATCCAAAATATATAAAAGCCTTATATAACAACACCCAAAAACAGTCTGGTTGAAAATGGGCAGAGGACCTGACTATTCAGATCCTTACTGTCAAGTCATGACATTTTTCCAAAGGAGACATCCAGATGGCTGACAGACACATGAAAAGATGCTCAACGTCAACAAATCGTCATTGAAATGCAAATCAACCACAATAAGATATCACATGCTTCTGTCAGAAGGTCTGGAATCAAAAACACAAGAAATAACAAGAATCGGCCAAATGTGGAGAAAAAGGTACCCTTGTGCACTGCTGGTGGGAATGTAAATTGGTACAGCTACTATATAAAACAGTATGGAGTTCTCTCAAAAAATTAAAAATCTTATGTTCAGTAATTCCCCTACTTGGAATTTTCCCAAAGAATACAAAAATACTCTTTAAAAAAATAAATGAACCATTAAGTTTATTATTAAGTTTATTGCAGTGTTATTTAAAATAGCCAAGACATGGAAGAAATCTAAGTGTCCATCATAAATGAATAGATTTAGTATGTGTGTGTGTGTGTAATATATATATATATATATATATATATATATATATATATATATATATATATAGTTGTTAGCCAAAAAAAGTTAAGATTTGCTGTTTGCAGCAACATGGGTATACCTAGAGGGTATAATACTAAGTGAAATAAGTCAGACTGAGAAAGATAAATACCAAATTATTTCAGTCATATGTGGAGTATAAGATGAAAAATGCATTAAGGGAAGAGGGAGAAAGGGAAATTTTTCCTTATGTTTTTAAAGTAAAAATGTAGGAAAATTTGATCATTTTGATGTCTCTGAAACTGATTTTTTTTACTCTTGTCATTCATAAGGTGTGTTCTTTTTCATTCCTTAGTTATTTTTGAATCTACATGCCAGTTTTCACATGTGTACACACTGATGTCATATAGATATGGGGGACACTTTTTCCTTCTGGGTTATTTCGTCTCCTTTAGATTTTGAAATTCCATTTCACTAGCATCAGATTAGAACTCCAACAATATCTAAGTAAATTATAATTTTAGGCAAACTGTAGGTGTTTGAATGTGCCTATTAAATTCCAGTGGAAAGTATCTTGGAATACCAGTGAAAAAAATAATGGGAGAAACTTCCAGTTAAGCTGGCAGAGAAGAAGGATCCTAAGTTTTTATCATCCCACGGATGCAAATAGGTGATACTCATGTAAGTATAAATAACCCAGAAAATGACCAAAGACTGACAGAACAGACTCTGCACAACTAAATGTAGAGAAGAGACCATTTTGAAGAGTAGCAAGGGCAGAGATCTGGCTGGGAGCCAAACTAACCCACAAATGTGTATTTTGAGGAAGGATGTCACATGTGTGGGGAGCGGCACACTAGATACTCCAGGCATAGGGGAACCACACTGGGAAGACAGAGGCCTAAAACATTTGGTTTTGAAAATTTGGTTTCATGAGTTTTGATAATCACTGGGGCTTAACACCTGAAATTTTAAAAATCAGCCATTTAGCTGTGGGAGAATCAGAAGGCTATAGGAAACTGAGTCCCCACCCTTAAAGTGACAGTGTAACAGCTCCCCTAAGATATAGTATAGAAGCAGCAGTTTGAAAAACACCTAGGATTTATGGGAACATTTATGTTCTAATCACAGAACATATGCGGAGGGGCATGGATTTTTGGGAAACTACTCCAAAAACAAAAGAGCTGGCACAATTTCCTTATACCATCCCCCAGCCTAGATACAGGGATACCTGCAGGAACCAGTGCAACCTACCTAGTGGCCCTAACCCCACCCTTTGAAACCATGCCTCAACAATTTTCCAAAGCAGCCACAGAAGGTCTTTTCCCACAGAAGACCAGTGAAAATGTGCTAACACCACTCAACCTGCCTCTGTGTTTTCCTACAGACCTGCCTCCTCCAGCCTGGCTTTGGCAGAAGTTTTCTAAAGTAGCTACAAGTCTCCTCCTACAGTGGACTTGTGCAAACCTTGCTAACACAGAACCACAACCACTGTGTTCTCTTGTGGACCTACCCCATTCAACATGTCCTTGGCTAGAGTCCATCCAAAGCTGCACCAAGCATAGCAGTGTGCAAGCAACCCATATAGGCACTAGCATCATTTCAAAGTGATTCCTGCACTGTGGAGAAGGGAAAAAAGAAAAGAAAAACAAAACAAAAATAGTTCAAGTGTAGCCACAGCAGTGTAGTCACAGCAGTGGGCTGGGGGCAGACATCTGCTCTGAATGCAGCTGTGCCCACCAATGAAAGCTCTGGGGATGGCACATTCTACTGTGGCCCAGTCTGATCCAGCTCAAGCTCAAGGTGGCCCCAGCCTGGCCCCTTAATAGAAGGACCAACCACTGCCCACAACAGGAAAAGAGAACCACAGAGCTGACAGAGATGAAGGCATGTGTGGCTCAAACACAGTGGTAGAGTGTAGGCAAAACACATAGGATGCACCTCTGAAGTGTCAGGTTCTGATGAATGGGGGACATTGTACTGCAAGGCCCATAAAGCTACTACTTTCAAGAAGAGGAGATGTAGCTGAATTTCCTAACACACAGAAACACTCAGAGTGATTTAGACAAAATAAGACAGAGGAATATGTCCCAAATGAAAGAAAAGAACATGATCTCAGCAAGAAAGCCAACCAAAAATGGAGATAACATGCCTCATAGAGAACTTTAAGTAACAGTTATAAAGATACTCCCTCAACTTGAAGAAAGAGTAGAGGGTCTCAGTGACACCTTCAACAAAGAGATGTAAAACATAAAAAAGAACCAGAAAGGGGCACCTGGGTGGCTCAGTGGTTGAATGTCTGCCTTTGGTTCAGGTCATGATCCTGGGGTCCTGAGATAGAGTCCCACATCAAGTTCCCCACAGGGAGCCTGCTTCTCCCTCTGCCTGTGTCTCTGCCTTTCTTTCTTTGTCTCTCACGAATAAATAAATAAAATCTAAAAGAACCCAATGATA